TAATAAATAAAGTTATCACACAAAACGTTAAAAAATGCCTTTTTGGGCATAATTTAAAATCGAAAGCTTTTCGATTTTTTTTTCTTTTTTTAATTATTATTATTATTTATTTTCGAGTTCTCACCTACTAGGTAAATGCTCTGAAAGCTTAAAAAGTTTTCATAAATTGGTTAATTTTAATTTTAATTAAAGCAATTTATTTAATGATTAATTAAACATATTAAAATTATTTAAAATAAATATCAGTATAATAATTTAAGGTTAAATATGAGTGTATTTGAATTTTAAAGTGTAACCAACGAAAAATTCTGCTAGGTTCTAAATTTTGCGTTTCAGATAGAAAATAAATATAAATGGGAAATGTTTTCATTTCCTATTATTGTTCATACATATTTAGATAAATATTTAGTAAGCATCAAAAATGAACATTAAAAAATTTTTTTTTTTACTTTGAATAGAAGAAGATTTAATGAAATTTTTCATTTAAAACATTCTGGCTCATTAACTGTTTTTAGATCGTACTTACGACCTGCATGCAATTTGCATTAATCCATTGTTATATTGTGAAACATTTTAGTGATTTGGTTAAACTATCATTTAGTGATTAGTGTTATGCAATATGCTTTAGCTCCATTAGCTTCTTTTAACGACATTTTCATTCATAAATTAAAAAAAAAAGCTTTTTTACTTATGAATGAAAATGTCGTTAAAAGAAGCTAATGGCTGTAGCATAAAGAAGGAAGCTTTATAATGCTTTATAAAGAAAAGAAATCCTTTAAGCCTTAAAAGGCTTAAGCTTAGAAGCTTTTGTTTACATACGGAACGAATTATTTATTGAGTGGAAGAGAGGGAAATGCTTCGAGATTAAAGGATTAATGAAAAAATTTCGTTACTTTGATGGCAGATGAAGCTGATATACACAGTTATGCAGCAAACGGAAATTTCTAAAAACAGCTCTCAGCCAGAAATTTTTAATCAAAATGCTATATATTCCAGCAGTGCATGTAAACGTAAGCATGCTTATAAATTCAAATATTTTCTAAAGAAGCCTAATAAAATAACAAAATTATTGCTTAATAACGAAAATATTTTTTCAAACAGATTATTCTTCGAAATAATTCAATTTTGTTATTTTACCTTACTAATAAGTAGGCTTACCATAATACATTTGCTTAAACCGGTAAAATTTTGAGAAAATACTCACAATAGAGAATAAAACCTTCTAGAACAGCGGTCGCCAACCGGTGGTCCGTGATAACGTTTTGTGGTCCGCAGAAAAATTAGGACATTATTTATATTTTTATGAAGATTCAGTTTAAAAAATAAGGAGTAACAAAACCTATTATGGAATATGGATTATGCTTTTTTTTAATAATAGCTAGTACTTTTAGCGAAATTCCTTCTGAATTTAGCGACTTTTTAGCTACTTTTGCAGGCGTATCTAGAGACATTTGAAAGTGAGAGTTGGCATCCATGGATATGCTGCTGTTATCAATATTAGCGTGAACTGGAATTCTCTTTCCTTTTGAATTACAAATATATGCTATTGTAGTCGTTAATAACGCAGTTTTTCTCCGTGTCAATAGGGAACTTGATGGATTTTAATGGATAGAACTTGATGGAATTATGAACAAGAATGAAGATGGTTCATCCGCATTCTTGTTTATAATTGCATCACTGGAAGTTTCCATTTTTGTTTTCTCTAACTGTTGATCGATGGCGCCATTGCTGAGTAAGCGATGATTATTATGTTTACACTAATTAAAAATTGACGGCGTAACACTATCAGTTTATAGATATTGCTTTGCGTTTGCTGATTTGTCCTTGTCTTTCGTGAAGTTCGTTTTCAGTCATATGGGAATGTGAAGGCTTCTGTACAAAGAAGGTAAAATTTTTGTTCTCTTCATGTAGGTTTTCAATGTGAAGGAAATATGTGTAGTTTGTTGATTATTATTGTATAAATGTGTTTACTTTTTTTTTTTTTTTTTTTGTAATTCATATTAGTAGTCCGCCATGTATAAAAAAACAACAAAAATATTTTTCCGTAGCTAAATAGAAGAAAGGCACGTGTCATCATTTCAGGAAAACATCTAGACAACATAAAAAGTACTTAAATGTAAATCCAAAATATTTAGACTGGCAACAGTGAGTGTAAGCCAAATATCCGTTTCATCCAAAGCTGCACTATTTTTACTACATTCGGCACTTTTAGAATTTTACCAAATACCCGGGACAAACGAGAAACTGATGGGGATCCAGAGCTAACATGACCAAGCCTGGAAAAGTCCAGTCAAAGCTAAATACTGTAAAAGTAAATTGCACGAATCTGCAGTTTCTTTACTTTTATGTAAATAGCAAATAAAATACTCATTATTCATTTGATACAACGATTAAGCGACAATAAAACTGAAAATTATTTGCTCTGATTTAAAAACAGTATCAGCAATTTAGTCAAATAAAACAAATTATCTATTCAATTGTTTATTTTGTTTTATGTGTAATTTTTCCAATTGGCTAAAGGATTCGAAACTTTTTCCTTGCACTGATTTCTTTTAAAGAAGGGCATTTTTCATCGACCCCTCACATTTATCGCTGTATTATACAGAGTAGAACATAATAATAAGAATAATGGAACATAAAATAAGTTAAGATTAGACCAAGGGAACTAAACAAAAGTTTCGAAAAAAATGGCTTATTAGATTTATGTTCTTTTATTACTGTTAGTATTTTTAAATTCGCAAGTATAAGCAAGTTTCCAGAAAGGAAAAAAATATTGCAGATTCTAACTGCGCAAAAGTACCAATTTTATTGTAATGGTTATGCTTAGATAGGGTATTTTTATATAGTTCTGTTCTTTATCTGTTCTTGAGCACAATTGGACGACTTAATAATCGATCATAATAACTAATCTAGTATTCATTGCAAAGAAAAAGGAATTGTAAATACGAGTATTTCTTATCACGAATCGGTTTTATTCTACTCGAGGACTTATGCCTAAGCGTTACTAGCTCAAAAGTGGCTATTAGTCTTGAAATGGGATTTTGTATTGGTTCACGACGCATGATTTTTCAAATTGTTGTCATCATATATTATCGGCATGTATTATTTTTAAAGAAATTAAATAATGAAAAACCTTCATGTATGTATATATGCAATAGAAAAAACGTTTACCTAGAGCCTTCAGATTTCAATAATGTATTCTTTTACCCAAAAATGTGCACTTGGAAGCCCGAATTTTGAACTTGTTTTTATTATTTATTTCATATTTTGTAAAACTTTAATGAATTTTTGATTAAAAAAGACACTGAATGTTCAGAAACTGACTTCATTCACTATTCTGCTAAATTTTAAATGTAAACAAATGGCTGCTCCATTAGGCTTAGTGGCAATTAAATAATTTTAATAAATAATGTTAAATAGTTTTAATAAAATAAATTAAAATAATTTTAAAGTGTTTTTAATTCTACAATCATTGCATGCAGATTAACTAAATAAAATCCTTAACGGGAACATAAGAACAATCTAATTATATCACTTTTAAAGCAAAGAAGAACATTTTATCAATATATAGGAATAAAAAGCTCACCGAGCTGAGTAATAGAGAGGGTATATGTACATATTTATATACTTTTGGCGTGGCCGATTGCAACCAAAAAGGGAGAGGTAGAACTAAATCCAAAATTTCAACGTTCTGAGGCTACTCGTTTTTAAGTTATGCGAGATACATTTCATAAAGAATCCTTTCTGAATCCATTTTAAATCCATGTTTAATCCGTTTTGGGAAAAAGATATCTTTATTCTGTCCGCATATACAGATATCACACAAAAACATCCTTAGATATATTCGAGAACTCTCAAAATGGATATTTTTTTGAAATATGACACTCGAAACTTTTCGCGATTGCAATACTTCCTTTACTTCGCACAAGGAAGTAGAAAGTACAAACATGGTTCCGCCAATGTAAAGAAAGTTTCAGCAAGAAGTTTATGATTGCGGCAGTATTCTCTTGCAGTATGGAATTAAAAATAAGAGTGGAAAAATGTTAAAATCTACTCAATGTTCTATCAAGAGAGAGTCTTACGTCCGATATTTATAGAAGAAATTTCATTTCTTTATCCCAGTGTCTTTCAAAGAATGAAACTTCATCAAGACAAATAACAAGTCATACTTCGAAAAGTACCATTGAATTCCTTGAAATATACCATTGAATATACCCATTATTTAGTACCATTGAATTTCTTGAAAAAACAAAGACTGATGTTGCTATTGTATATGTACCTTTGCAGCAAAAAACATTCGACAAGTCGGCTATCAAACGTTTAAAAAGTACTTTTTACATCTGATCTCCGTTTCCCGGCGTACAAAATGAACTTTCATGCAAGAGTGAACTTTTGACAAAACACTTTGTTTAAAGTTATCATGAATTAACATTGTATAGGGAAAAATTTGAAATGTTTTCCTTATTCACTAAAGCTACATTTGTTACTTAGCATTACATGTATGTACATTTAGCGATATTTATGAAGCAAACTGTAAATATAGGCCAATTTTTGCACTATTTATTAGTAACGGAAAAAAATCAGAATTTTTAGGAAATATTCTACAAATTTAATGTCACAAAATCGAGTTTAATAGCGGTAAACGGCACTTTAAAGGGTTAAAGAGACAAAATTTGCTGAATCAATAGGAAGAGGGAAAATATGACCACAATTTAAAAAATTAATTTTGTTCCTGTTCTAATACTCGAACATGTCTTCTTTCCGCTCTTTCACTGTTTAGATGCACGAACAAAAACACCCACAGCTATATTGCTTAAATTAAAGATATCTCCTTTTGTCGTTTCTAAAGACCTCCTATAAAAATTGTGGCGTGATCAATTCGTTCTCAGCTGGAATGTAATTGGAAAAACACCAAGCCTTTCTCGCCCTTGCAAACGCGGTTACGGAGAAATTCAACGTCGCGCATGACGTCACATAGTAGATCGTATATAGAACGAAGTTGGAGGAAAATATTGACAATTATTGACGGTTTCGAACAGAGGGAAGTTCTCCTCGTGTTTATTGTCAACTGCACGAGTCAGAAAGGAGCACGTGGAAGGAGAAGGTGGATCTATGGGTGGAATACGTTTTCTTGGATTAGTTCTCGTTTTCGGTGAGTAAAAATGAACTTACTTTTTTTTCTCATTTACTGAGTGCAAAAAATTTTAAGATGCAAATCCATTAATATCCACTTATAAGTATTATAACACTGTTTTATCTAGTTGTGTATCTGAATGAAATTTTTAAAATTTGTTAAAGATTTTATGAAAAATTTAAAGTCAATTTAAATTTTAATTAACATAATTAAACATATTTACTTAAATTTTATTTGATTCAAATTTTGAATTTAAACAAATCATATATGAGTTCTGAACAAATCAGTTTAGTAACTGAATTGGACTGCTTAAAAATTTATTTAAATTTTAGTAAATTGAAAGTTAAATAAATATATTTTAGTTACGCTATAATTGCTGAGATGAAGGAAAAAATATTTCTAATTTGCTTTATGAACTTATTATATAGAATTTTAAGGATTACGCTATTTTTGGAAAAGTACTTTTATGATTTTTAAGATATTTATGATACTTTTGTGAATACAGTCAAACTCCACTGTTATAAACTGGTTATCTATATAGCTATAACATTTGTAGTTAACTCTTAAATGAACAGAAGGCACTTCGTGCGCGACAGACAAATCTCTTCAACTTGCGGGTATTTAAATTAACATAAAATAAAATTAAATTCAAATGTAGGTAACGTAGTCTAAGACTACAATACGCAATGGGCTATTTAAGTTGGCTCAAGATAATTAGCGGCGCATATTTTAAACCGCGGCTAGCGAGATGCTAAACCCAGAATAAAACTTTGGCAAGCCTGGCGATAAGCTTTGACTTTAAAGCATTCAAACTCTCAACTTAAGTACTTCACAACTGACGGAAAGAAAAAATTAAAGTTCAACTTATAATAACTGGTTAATTAACATAAAATCCTACAGACTGAGTCTTCGCGGCTACCATATGGTATTTCAAGACATGCTTATTATGTGTTCTTTTTTTTCGAAGAGCTAAGTGCTATCCCTGCCGTGTAGCATTTTGCTTAGAACGCAAAGAAAAGCGGGGGTGAAGATAATCGAGAATGGTAGCGTAAAAGAGTTTTTCCGACATTCTAACATGAAAGGAATCTGAATGTTTTAAACATCAGTGATATTTTTAATCATTACTTCTAAAAATTCTGGGAAAAAATTATTAAAAATTAAAAAAAAGTTTTAGCTAAAGATATTCATAAAAAGTTTGTTATATCCTATTTTCATACATAAGCTATAACCGTATAAAATAACGAGAAGTGTATGGGAGATCGCACGTTATATCCGATTTTTATGCATATGCTATAACCGTGTAAAATAACATTAAGTGTGTAGGAGATTAAACGATAAATCAATTTTCATGCATACGCTATAACCATATAAAGTAACTTAAAGTGCATAGAAGATTGGACCTTATATCCTATTTTCTGCATGCGCTATAACCATATAAAATAACGTGAAATGTACAGGAAATTGGACGTTATATACGAACTTCACGCATACGCTATAACATCATAAACTGACGTTAAATGTATAGGAAACTGGCCGGGACCAGAAAGTTCGTTCGTTATATTCGGAGTCCATTAAAAATCAGATTAGCTATAGCGAGATTACATATTGTGAATTATCTATTTTATGTTGTGAACGCACATTAAGTTAATTTGTTTAAAATAAACAGAACTATATTTATTATAGTCATACAATTCTCGTAACTTGTTAATTAAATAGACAAACTCTAATTAAAGAAATATTTATAGAAAAGAAATTTTCAAATTTTCATATTATTTTGATTTTATGTATTACAAGAAAAATGCATGCAATATATTTAAACTGTCATGACATTTCTTAAAACACATTGCATAATTGTAATTTAAAAAGTTATTCAAATTATTTAAATCTGTATACGAGTATATGCGCTTACCAAGCAGAAACAAATTTATTCTTTATTTGGAACGAAAATAAAAATTTTAAATTAATATCAATGACATCTCATTGCCTATTAAAAAGAACTGAAAATTAGACAGTGCAATATTTTTCTTTACAATATTAAACAAAAGCTTTATATTGTACATAAAATTTTGATTATTTAACCCTTTTTTATTTATGTGAAATGTACAATAAAAAGTTTTTGAAATTTTTTAAATAATTTTGTGGGTTGTACATTTATTTCTTATTAAGTAGAATTAACTAGTTTTAATTTCTGGCCTAAATTTACCTTCAGTGCAAACTTTTCCATTTTACCTTTGGCTTTGTTGTTATTATTACTGATATAATTGTAGTCTACTTAATATACTACTTGTTATTATCAATAAAATAATTAGAAATTTTCATTTGGGTGGTAATTTTATTAACATTTGACTAGCACATTAAAAGTTCTAGATAAAGTTATAATAAGAAACATCAATATCAGATTTTAAAATATTATCAATCTTAAATTTAATTACAATGTAATCTGAATATTCAAATTTTTAATATACGTAAATGAAAAATGAGCATAAATTTAAAAAAAGATGTAAAAAGAAATTTTGTTTTCTATCTAAAAAGATAAGGATTTTATTAGAAGGAATTGACAAGAGAACATTAACTGTCAAAATCATCTTTTTTTCTTTAAAAGGAAAGAAATCGAGTCAATGATTCTAAAAAAGGGAGTTAAAAATGTGATTTATTGAAGGAAGTATATGTTTTCCGTGTTAGGAAAAGGTGTTATGCCTTTCTCAAAAAAAGTTAAAGTACAATAAAATTAAAAAGAAAAAGGGTTCTTATACAGTAATAATGGATACGATAATTAATGCACTAAAAAGAGAAAAATAATTGTTTATATAGTTTAATGGGAATAATAGATTAAATAATTTTATTTATTTCTACAATTTTATATCGCGAATCTACAATTTTAAAGTTTTATATCACGAAGAATAAAAGCTTAGGGCGAATCTATAATTCTATATCGTAAATAATAAATGCGTGGGGCACCCTTGATCAATTAAAAAAGATAATGGATTTTACATTGGACAATTCAATTAAACTAATAAAGAATAAAAAAAATGACTTATACATTTTCCAACGCAATTAAATTAAGAAAGTTCGATATTTATGAGCAACACGAATTTAGTTTTGTGAAAATTAAAAAAAAAAAATATTCAAAATATTTATAGATGTTGATATTTTAAAATCATAAATTTCAAATAGTTAAAAAAATTGAGCTATTTTCAGAAGTTCGACTAAAATTTAGAGATATTTTCCTTAAAAGTTTCATTGAAAATGTTTTCCCACTGTGGTGCAAAGACTAAAATTATGTTTAGTTTGTTCATTAAACGAAGATAAATGCACAAATCTAAATCGAATTTTGAAAAAAAAAAAAAAAAAAAAAAAATCTTTTCATTACATCGCATTGTCAATGTAGAAGGTTTGAGTGTACCGTATGAGTGTACAGTGTTTGGGTGTACAGCGTATGTACAGGATTTGAGCTCCATAGCTTATTAAAAAGTATGATGAAAATCAATGGCAAAATTCCAACCATAGTCGAACATCATAAGTGAACTAAATATGTTTATAAATTCATATACAAAGCTTATAAATACTTGGTTTTGGAGGTGGCCATTGTTTCATATTTTGGTGTTCTTGTCAAGTCTTGTTTCTTACTATAAACCCTAAAAATATTTCGAGAAATTTTTAAATAAAAAAAAAGCAGAAATGTAATGTCCTAAAGTTAACTATTAAGCAAATCTAAGTGTGGTTGTACAATACACCCTTATAAAACGAACTCTTGATATTAAAGTCAGATGTACTTAGATTATCATTTAAAAATCTGATAAACAAGAAGTATTTTTTTCCCAGGTTTAAAGTGTTTTTACAAGAGATATAGCTGATGTTATGAACAAAAAGTTTTAAATTAAAATTTAAAATTCAGGAATTTTCTAAGGATTATAAACTCCATAATGATTTTCTCATACCGACTGCATCCAGCATCAAACAGAAAAAAATTGAATTTTCAACTGTAAAATCAGGATATTGAAATAAATATCCGAAAATTTATTGCAAAAATGGCATATAATAAAATAACTTGATAAAATTTTTATTTATAAATTTTGAAGCTACTTGAGATGTGAACATTTCGATTTATTTGAAACTTCATGATATTTTTTGTCTTTTATATCTCATTTGAAAATAAAAATATAAAGAAAGAATCATTCTTAATGAATTTTGATTTTTTTATTAGAAAAATTAGCATATAGAAAAAAAATAAGTGCAAATTAAAAACCTTATTTAAACTATATTAAATAAAATAAAAAAAATGTTTAATAAAAATACAATTAAAAGGAAAAGCCTCCATTAATTATAATATTTTTTCTATAAAAATAACAGTTCTAATTAAAACGCGATGTATACATTTTAGAAAAGTCGAGCATTATCTTTACAAAAATATATTTATCAGCTTCCGTATTTCCTCGTGTCGAGAGGGAAAATTATGCGAGTAATTTAATTCCCCCCAAACGCGGTTACAATAAGAGCATAACAAATGAAAAGTAGTCATTACTACTGGTAACTATAAAAAAATTCAAGTAGTCAAACTGCTGGCAATTATCACAATATTATTACTTTAAAAGAAACCAACACTCCAAAGAGAATACATGTCAATATTAACATTTAAATTTCTGTCGGTTATTAAACCGATATCTGACGAGGGACTTCGGAACAACGTAGGAGATGGAGGCAAACAAAAGAAACTGATTTAAAAATATCGGACACATCAGCAATAGATAAGGTTAAAATAAACTGGAACGTAAACAACAGAAGTAAGGTGAAATCACATGTTTGGAAAGTTTTTTAAGTGTGAGAATGCTGCCACGTAGAGGTAGAGGTAAATATCGAAGTATTTGCACAAAATGCATTTTAAATAATAAATGCCAAACAAAATAAAGTAGATGAAATATTAATGCAAAAACGCAAATACAAATTAAACACTTTAGATAAAAATAAAAGCAATGAAGGGAATATATCTAGGCAATATATTATTCCTCAGAGGGAAAACT